CGACCTTGCTCCTCTAGAGGTGGAAGCAGTAGAAGAAAAAGGAAATGGTGGCCCCTATCTTCAAGTAATCGTAAACTATTTCGAACACTCGCACGAACGCGGTGCAATTTGGGTGCAGTTGGGAGGGAGCCACGCGCATGTGCTTGAACACGGCCACCTCAAAATCAGAGAAAGGGAGCCGAAGACCCATCTCCCGAAATATGATGTCATACATGGGAATCTGCCTCCTATCGTATTTCGAGCAGATTATGCTCTCTTTCTCGGGGATGTATAGCGACCATTCTCCTTGGCTCCCCTCCTCGTGAGTATACACATCTGTAAAAACATCCTCCCGACGCTCAAAGAAATACGAGGGCCAGTCCCAGGGATCGTTCGTGACCCAAGCCTGTGGATCCTCCTCGTCCCCAGGGGGAAACAAGAAACCTTGATCGACCATATCTCCACCCCTCATTTGCTATTCCGACTGATTCTGCACATCCCCGGAAATCTCCAAAATGCTCGGCGAGCTACTTGTCTCGTCTAAAGAACTTCTCGAAGATTATGTAGACTCACTCGAGAGATCAACCCGAGAATTGTCAGCCATAGCACCTGAAAAGCAGAGGAAAAAGATGAGCTCGATATCAATGCCAGAACCACTTTTCCACCGCTAATCAAGCGAAAGGGCACTGGGAAACGAGGATCGTGTCCCTGACCAGAACCCTCACTAAGGCACATAAACGGCCAGAAATTACAGAAAACAGTCCTAAGTCCTAAGGGGCCATCTACGACACGTCAAGAAGTACCCGGGGGGATTCCACGGTGGCTCCAGCGATTCTAAACTACTGGAACACCACCTACCGCCAACACTAACCAACTACATCCTCATAAACTGAACCCTAAACCCTAGCCACATGCATCTCCGGAAAGAAAATGGCGAAAATATGATCTACTAAAACCAAACAACGGTGGAAAACTGAAAGCTTACCAGTTAATAGAAGAAGAAAGGCTGGAAGTAGCAGCTGCGAGCGATAAATCCCAAGAAACGATGGTGGTCGGCGGTCGAGTTATTACGAGCAGTTGAGACAGAAGACGAAAAACACTAAACACCCTGCTTCTATCGTATTTATAGTTGACACCATCCGTGTGTGCGAAGCACGCGCCTGGGAAATCCTAGGGTCTTCATTATTACACCCTAGCCCCTAGGTCATCATTGTGTTGCTTCACTAGCACGCTACCCAAAACACGCTACCTCTTCAAGTTCAAAGTTCCTAACGACCAACTCATCATCTCCCCGCGAGAAAGGCACAACAGGCAACACTCATTTCCCCATAAGGCGCGCCCTATTCCACGAGTAGGCGTTAAAGTCATCACTCCTGTACCCAGAAGCAACGACTTGGAGGGTTACTGTTCTGGACTGGCCTGACAGCTTGAATGGGCCCCTTCTAACCCTTTATTTTGGTATGGCCCGCACATCCATGCCAACACTATCGACCCTTTGCCTTCCCAAGCCAGCACTGGCCTAAGACGATCGGTGAGCATCTCTCAGCCTGCCCGACATCAAAGTCGTACAGGCCACCAGGAACCGACCAAAGAGATGCTCGTAACTGGCTCCCTCCTCAAAATCAACGGCTAGTTACGGACACATCTGCCCGGTTTGACCAAGTCCTGATAGTTACTTGATTTTACGGACCCACATATCCAGGTGTAAAATCAGGAACCAATGGCCATGCGCCAAGGGCATTATATAAACCTTACGCCTATGAGGGCCAGGTATGGAATATTCATTATTCACCACCAATACCTTAATACTTTGCTTGTATCTCCTTGTTCCCACTCTTACTTGATCATCAGAGTGCCTTGTAGGTACAACCCTCTTTTTCCTCCTCGACATCACAGCCTGACTATAGATAATCTTCCGGCCACTTTACAGGTTCTGATCAACCAGTAAGATCACCTACATCAACGGTTAGTTTTCAACGGATAGAATAAGGTGTAAGAGTTTGGACAATACAAAATGATACTATTCATTATCTGTTACCTTACAACGTTTAACTTTAACCTTATCTTCAATAGATGTTTTTCTACTTAGCTTATAGACAGAGATCCGTTAAGGGTAAAAAGATAATATGGAAAACAGTTGTTTCTTCCCAACGATCATAATGAGAGTGGTTGACAATACAGTAAGAAATGATTGTACTTACGCCATCCTAGAGGATAGAGGTCACATAGCACTTTTTATACCTTTTATACACCATCACACATTAACAATTTTGAATTTCTTCTAATCTTCAGAGGCTTCAGATAATTTGAATGTTTGAAGCTTGTTGTAGAAGAATCACTCTTAAGTCTTAAAACCTAAGTCTTGGAGTCTTCAGAACTTGTCCCATCAGAACCTTGTCTTCAGAGTCTTCAACACTTAGTCGTAAGAACTTATGTTTCGTCAGGTCATCAGAACTTGTTCAGCATAATCTTGTTTTCATAATCTTCAGAACTTGGAACACATAGAAGCAAAGCTTTAGAAGGCCTCCAAAACTTAACCACAAAGTCACGATCTGAACCTCTTATACTAACGTTCCTAAGAACCGTTGCATAAGAATCACTCTTAAGTCTTAAAACCTAAGTCTCGGAGTCTTCAGAACTTGTCACATCAGAACCTTGTCTTCAGAGTCTTCAACACTTGATCGTAAGAACTTATTTTCCGTCAGGTCATCAGAACTTGTTCAACATAATCTTGTTTTCATAATCTTCAGAACTTGGAACACATAGAAGCAAAGCTTTAGAAGGCCTCCAAAACTTAACCACAAAGTCATAATCAGAACCTCTTGTACTAACGTTCCTAAGAACCGTTGCATAAGACGAATTTCATAATCTTGACTTCAACTGTAACGGGGGAGATACTAGGAGCATTGATACATAATGTAGGAATAAACACCTTTGTGAGAGACACACCACTTATCCACCTAAAACTCTAAGGTGATAGGTGAGTGGGTTCTCTCACTTATATATGTTTAAGTCTCCACATTCTTATCTAATGTGAGACTATTTCCCCACTTACTCACACTTGTTATATTATTCCAACAGTGATATCACACACCTTGATATCAGAGTTAGAATATTACAGCAGCATCTACATAATGGAACGAAACTATTAGAATATACAATTATTTTTTTATGATATATGTAAAATTATCATCAAAACCTTACAGGCAGATGTAAAAACGCTTCTTATTCTTATAATATGATAGTGTTATTCTTTGATCTACAAATTTTTCACTTGTACACTTCTTTTCGGAGTGATAATGTATACCTACAAAGATCTTTAATGTTAAAGTAAAACAAAGTACTCAAATAATAAGTATGTGATTAATGATTAAATAATCATACCTGAGGAATAAACCCGTTATTTATAAAATAATCATATTCGTGTATACTCTATGACGTTATTATATCTAATGTAGTAGTCATTGAGACCATTACTGAATAAACATATATTTATTATCATAATTAAATTTCTGATAGGGAGTGACACCTAATTGGATTGAATACGACATATGGTGTTTATAATGATGGAGGACACTTAGTTTTCTAAGAAGACTTAAGAGCAATTTATTGTGTCGCGTCACCCTAGGTGAGCAACTGTAATATTCTTTACATTTAGACCTCCTAATTAGATATGGTGTTTTCCTTATAAATGGATTCTCTGTGAAAGTACATTTGTATAAAGCTCTTGATAACTCTTTTTTTTTTTGGAAGTATATTATTTTAACTAATATCATGTTTGTTAGAAGGTTAAAAAAAATTATTTCTAAATATAATTTTTTTAAAATCAAATAACCTTCGATAACTTACATAGTCCCATGGTTTTATTTCCAAAATAAAAAGGTTGAATGTCAATTTCAATAAAAATTTAATACAAATTTGTTCAAAAATAAAATATAACTAGCAATATTTCTAAGTACATCAAATTATATGTTAAAGACTTTATTTAAATAATACTAAAAAATCTATTTTATTATTTTAATTTTTAAATTAACCTACTTTTAAAAATCATTTATGAATCATTCAAACAAAAGTCCTCTAATAAATATAATAACTTTTTCATAATATTATTTATTAAAAAATTAAAAAACATATATTTTTACAGACATGAATAATAGCTTTAATATAAAAAACAATGTAAACAACTACTTACTACTAATTTGTTACAAATATTTTGACAACAAGAAAAAAAAAAAAAAAAAAAAAGCAAGAGGCAAAACCTCACTCTAGTGCCGCGTGACTCCACATCCCCATCCCACCATGGTCCATCCACACATCCTGTGGCAAACATCGAGAGTCGCCTCAAGACATTTACAAAAAGCCAATAATACAAAAACAAAACAAACTACTAATTCAAAACCATACCCTAATAAAATAAAGAAAAATGATATTTCAACATTCATGTGTTAAAAAAATATCAAATGTAATTGTGTATTATTAAAATTTATATAAATATATGAAATAAAAAAGTAACTGATATATAAATATTAATATACAAAATTCATATACATAAATATTTAATTAAATTTATTATAATAAATCAATTTATTTGATAATTATATAAGAATATCAAATACAGCAACGTCTTGCTTCGTTCATGTTTAAAAAGTAAATTTTGATTAATAATTATTTTGAATATATATTAAATTCTTAAATAAAAATAACACCAACCCCACACTAGACCCACCCACCTCTATTTTAATTTTGATATAAAATTTGTCTCTCTACATTACTTTCTCTCACCAATTGTACCTGCCAAGTACGCTTACCTGTACCTCCCACCCACACTTCTCCCATCATCACCTTTCCATTCTCTACACAATTAATTAATTCAATTCCTTTTTCACTTCACATATATATAAACTCACACTCTCTCTTCTTCTCTTCTATTCTATAATCATTCCTTTTCACTCTTCACTTCTCAACCACCTCTCTCTCTCTCTCTAGTTTCTTCATTTTCTCTCTCTAGATTCTTCATCATCATGAAGCAGTTGATTCGTCGGTTATCCCGAGTCGCCGACTCCTCAACCTACACTCTTCTCCGAACAGACTCATCAACAACTCGTCGCCGGCGACCTTCCCGCCGAGTCGAATCGTTCCGGATCCGGAGATCTTCCACGGTTGTTCCGGAAGGCCATGTTCCGATCTATGTAGGAGACGAGATGGAGAGATTCGTCGTGAGTGCAGAGCTTCTGAACCATCCGATTTTCATCAAGCTTTTGAACGAATCGGCGCAGGAATACGGTTATGAACAGAAAGGAGTTCTTCGATTACCGTGTCATGTTTTCGTATTTGAGCGCGTGCTTGACGCGCTCAAACATGGACATGACACGCGTTATATCGCCGAGCTTCTCAATTCTGAAGGAGAAGAAGAAAGATTCTGCTCATGAGTAAAAGAATTGAGAAATTTAGGTAAATTAGTTAGTTTTTTTCTTACTCTCTAATATTATTTATTTATAATAGACAATTTATTTTTTATATTTATTAAATAATTAATTTATCTAGAACTAGATAGATTGATTATTGAATGAATTGTAAAAGTAAATTATCTCTTATAAATAAGACAGAAAGAGAGTATTATGTAAATATGTATCAGGATCTTGGAAGGAACAAAAGAAAAACAAAAAAAGGAAGAGAAATGTTGTTGTTAGGGTTTGTTTTGTGTCTGTGTTTTTTTTGGTTGGTTGTTGTTGATGATGAGTGTAAAGGAGAAGATATTATTACTCTCTAATGTTTGCAACCAAGGAATGAGAATCATGAATCATACGTCTCTTTTGGTCCTCAAATTTCGTTTTCTTGTTTGTTTTTTAGGGAAACAAACAGAAATTTTTTGGGGTTATTTCAACATTTCACCGTTTGTGTTTTTGAATGTATAGTTCATTTATTTTTTTGCCGTTTAGTAAACTAACGGTTCTCATTAGTTTGTGTTATTTGGGCATTTTGTTTCTAATTTAATTTAGTTGGAAATGTATTTCATTTTACTAATTAATATGTTATTAATGTTGTTAAATTTCTAAAATATCGACCAATTGAATTTAGCGAAAGTGTTGAAAAGTAATTAATAAGGGTGGAATTTATTTAATGGTTGGATAATAGAGAGATTCTTATTTTTTCTTCTTATTGTGATACTTTAAAATAAATTTTTTTTTTCAAATAAATATATTAAATAATTAATTTCTTTTTGAAAATTCAGTATTTAGTTTTATAATCTTGCTAATCGGTGCTCTTAGACTATTTTTTAAATATTTTAAAAAAAGAAAATATTTTATTGAAAATTTAACAAGATCTTAAAAAATGTTCTGAAAGTACTAATTAGCCCTTCTGTTAATTTTAAACACCGATTAATTCTGTGACAAGAGCAAAACTCGCTACACTATCTCCTTTTTTTTAATACAAAACTTTAGAGCAAATTGTTTAAAATAAAAATAAGTTACAAAACTTAAAAAATGTTGATTAATATAATAAATTTATTGATAATTTATAAAATTTTATAAATTTATTTTTTAAAAATATTAATAGTATTTATGTAAATATTTATTACATATACAATATAATAGTAATAATATTTGCAAAATAAAAAAAAATATTGTATGAAAAAATATCATTGTGTACTACTCTGAATAAATCACAATTAAAATATTAAAGTGTGATAAAAAAACCTTATTTATTATCGCAACTAAACTATAGTTAAATGTAGTTAAATGTTTAGGTAGTTAAATGTTCTTGCTAAAAGTAAAAGTGATAACTCATGATTAATGAAAATAGGATAGACAGACTTACAAGAATTTATAATTTTATTTATTTAAGATTAGGTTATGTCTATTTAATAAAAATGTCATATTAATATGAGTTCTAAAGACAGATGTTAAGAGTATTATAATTAGAAAATTTTAAGTATAATAAAGTTATATTTAAAATTTTAAAAAATTGAATGTGTTTCAAAAATATATTACTATAAGTAGTTTTTTAACATGTATCATAAGGACATATCTTAGTATTTTTCTTAATAAAAAAGTTATTTTTAAATTTTTTTAAAACTTATTTAATTAAATAGGTCAGACTTAATTAGTTATTATTAAAAAAATTTATGAAACTTTTATAAAAGTATTTGTAAAAATATTTTTTTGAAATACATGCATTTTATATTAAAAATAATATAAATAGATTAACTTATATTAACATAGAAAAAATGCTAAATATGCTAATAGACTGACATATATGTATATATAGGCCGACTTATAAATTTTTTTGAGTAATACTATGAATTAATTGAAAATCTTAATAAGAAACGAGTTCTTAAATAGGCTTTCAGGTTAGATCATATTTTGGGGTGTCACAACTCTCCCCAACTAAAAGAGTTTTCGTCCTCGAAAACATACCTTAGACGAACAGTTCGGGATACGAGTCCTTCATCTGACTCTCCAGCTCCCAAGTGACATTTCCATCTGCTGATCCTCCCCAAGCCACTCTTACCAACGCGATCTCCTTGCCTCGCAACTGTTTCAACTTCTGATCCTCAATTCTCGCAGGTACCGCTTCCACAGTCAAATTCTCTCGTACCTGTATATCGTCTACCCGAATCTCATGAGACGGATCAGCAATGTACTTCCTTAGCTGAGATACATGAAAAACGTCATGCAAATTTGCAAGTGACGGCGGTAAAGCAATCTGATAAGCAACTTTCCCAACTCTCTTGGTAATCTGAAATGGACTAATAAAACGTGGAGTCAACTTCTTTGACTTCAAAGCTCGACCAATACCAGTCATCGGAGTAACACGCATAAAAACATGTTCTCCTTCGCTAAACTCAAGATCTTTCCTGCTCTTATCGTGATAGCTTTTCTGACGACTCTGAGAAGTCCTCATCTTCTCCTGAATCATCTTAATCTTTTCCGAAGTCTGTTGGACAATTTCCGGTCCAATCACAGCACTCTCTCCATATTCATACCAACACAACGGTGTCCGACACCTCCTACCATACAATGCCTCAAACGGAGCCATACCAATGCTCGAATGAAAACTATTGTTGTAGGTAAACTCAATCAATGGTAGATAACTATCTCAAGCTCCACCTTTCTCCAACACACAAGCTCTTAACAAATCTTCCAACGACTGAATCGTTCTCTCCGTCTGACCATCTGTCTGTGGATGATAAGCGAAACTCAAACGCAACTTAGTACCCAAAGCTTCTTGCAATCCCGTCCAGAATTTAGATGTAAACCTCGGATCTCGATCCGACACAATACTAGAAGAAATACCGTGCATACTCACAATCTTCTCAACATACAATTCTGCCAACCTTTCCATCGGATAATCCATTCTTATCGGAATAAAGTGAGCAGATTTCATCAACCGATCAACAATAACCCAGATAGAAACACAATTCTTTGATGTCCTTGGCAAACCGGACACAAAATCCATAGAGATTCCATCCCATTTCCATTCCGGAACAAACAACGGTTCCATCAATCCTGACATTTTCTGATGCTCAATCTTCGACTTCTGACAAACCAAACAAGCATACACAAACTCAGCAATTTCCTTTTTCATTCCCGGCCACCAAAACAACTTCTTTAAATCATGGTACATTTTAGTAGCACCAGGATGAATACTCAATCCACTACGATGTCCTTCTTCCAAAATACTCTTCCTAATCTCTGCAACATCCGGAACACACACCCTATTACCAAATCTCATAACACCATTCTCATCAATCTGGAACTCGCCTCCTTGACCTTGGTTGATCAATGTCAATTTATCAACTAACCCAACATCGGACTTCTGTCCATTCCGAATTTCTTCCAGAATACCACTAGTCAGTTTCAACATACCCAATTTCACACTATTCGGAGTAGTTTCACATACCAACAACGACATATGCAAGGACTTCCTACTCAAGGCATCCGCAACAACGTTTGCCTTACCAGGATGGTAATTCAAACCGAAATCATAATCCTTTAGAAATTCTAACCATCTCCTCTGCCTCATATTCAACTCTTTCTGATCAAAGAGATACCTCAGACTTTTGTGATCACTGAACACCTCAAACCGAGAACCATATAAATAATACCTCCACAACTTCAAAACAAACACAACAGCTGCCAACTCCAAATCATGAGTCGGATAATTCCTTTCATGTACTTTCAATTGTCTCGAAGCATAAGCCACCACCTGCTTATCTTGCATCAACACACCACCTAATCCCATTAATGATGCGTCACAATACACAACAAAAGACTTAGTCGGATTTGGCAAAATCAAGATCGGAGCACTTGTCAACCTCCTCTTCATCTCTTGAAATCCTTTCTCACATTCAACATCCCAAACAAACATCTGACCCTTCCTGGTCAACTTAGTCAACGGTAACGCTAATTTGGAAAATCCTTCTATAAACTTCCTGTAATAACCTGCAAGACCCAGAAAACTACGGATCTCAGAAGCATTCTTCGGCGCTTCCCACTGAGATACTGCTTCTACCTTCGTAGGATCCACATCAATTCCATTCTTGGAAATTACATGGCCAAGAAAACTTACTTCACTTAACCAGAATTCACACTTGGACAACTTCGCATAAAGCTTCTTCTCTTTCAACAATTCCAACACAACTCTGAGATGTTCTGCATGCTCTTCATCGCTCTTCGAATAAATTAGAATATCATCAATGAACACCACCACAAACTTATCAAGATACAGATGAAATATCCTGTTCATATACTCCATGAAAACACCAGGTGCATTAGTGACTCCAAACGGCATAACAGAATACTCGTAATGTCCATACCTCGTTCTAAATGTAGTTTTCTGAATATCTTCCGACTTCACACGAATATGATGATATCCAGATCTCAGATCAATCTTACTAAATACACAAGCTCCAACTAGTTGATCCATCAAATCATCGATCCTCGGAAAAAGATACCGATTCTTGATTGTAACTTTATTCAGCTGTCTGTAATCAACACATAATCTCATTGAACCTTCTTTCTTCTTAACCAACAACACCGGAGCACCCCACGGCGAAACACTCGGACGAATAAACTTCTTCTCAAGTAACTCCTCCAACTGTTTCTTTAACTCTGCTAATTCAGATGCCGACATACGGTAAGGCGCCATCGACACTGGACTAGTTCCAGGAATCAAATCTATAGTAAATTCTACCTCCCTCTCAGGTGGCAATTCACTAACGTCTTCCGGAAACACCTCTGGAAATTCATTCACCACTGGCAATCCATCACTCTTTGCTTTTTTCCTCCGCTTCTATTGTAGAATACAACATAAATACCACAGCACCATCTTTCATAGCTAGGTTCATCTGTTTAACCGACATAGTCACATCTTCGACACCAACCTCTTCAGGAAAAATAACCGTCTTCGCAAAACAGTTGATATG